TACAAACCTGCTATAATATCACTGCAAACCTAATTCCTCTCCTTTTGAAATATGTGTCAAACATCATTTGTTTTTTAAATCTGGTTTTATTTCTGTAAATCTGCTTCTTCTCTCTAATAGAAGAATCAACAACTCTTCGTAAGAACACTACCACCTTTAATTCATTTTTCATTTAATCGACAAAACTGCGTCTTTTATTTCACGTGAATTTAAACCAAACGCCAGACGTCCCAGTTATTCACCAGCACTTGAACGCAGCATGTGTTTGTGGATCTGCGTGACCATATGCAAATGTGACCTGATCCGTGTCAGGCGAGCCGTGCACGTACATTTAACAACCTGTAATATACACAAAAAGAGCGTTGCAGACGTTTCTCACACATTTTGCAGCACGTAGTGATATTCAACTTTGTGTGTATGTTTATGAGCTTCACGTAAATCTTACATTTCTATTTCTATTTTTCATTCCGACATCATGTGATGGTTACAATGACGGAACAATGAGGACAGAAGAGACGGAAAGAAAGAGAAGCAGAAAGAGCTTTTCTGGAAGAGCTCAGAGGATATAGAGCTTAAGCCGTCTGTGTGTTTCTCAGGCATGACTCTCTACTGGAATATAACCCTGTGTGTGTGTGTGTGTGTGTGTGTGTGTGTGTGTGTGCTCAGCCTCCTGTTGAGGTTGTGTACTCTCACTGTTGCCCTCAGGGTTTAAGATGGAGACACTGACGACAGACACACCGGCTGAGAGTCGACTGTATTCTCTGTTTTCATTTCTCTCTTTCTCTGCGTCTCGTCTCCACGGAGATTTATCCTCAAAAGAAAAGTCATGTCATCACTTCCTCTCACCCAGAGTTGGATGTGTTTACGTTTTGGACGCTGTGTGTCTCTAATGTCCACACTGAAGACCCGAGGCCTCCGTTCCTCTGGAACCTTCCACCACCTGGAACCTCTGGAGGAACCATCGCAGGAACCAGAGTCTGAGTGAAGTCCGAACTCCTGAAGTACAGGAACCTTCGAGGTATTTTTGAACCGGTCGCTGTGTACAATCAATAATTAACCAATTAGAGGCAGACTGCGGCGGAAACGCTTTCAGCCCCACCTGCCTTCTGAGGACCGCAAAAACTTTCTGGATGTTTAAATTTCTTAGAGCAGTAGTGTTGGAATTAGAGCTAGAGCGGTGGTTTGGTTGGATGACAGACGTGCAGACTGTCTCGTCAGCGACCAATCATCACGTCCACAGTCAAATCTGTGGGTTTGATGACACGTAGACAAATAAACTGTGTCCAGAACAGGAAGTGAGAGAGTCACTACAGACGGAGACGGGACTGTGGGATCAGATCTTTAGGAAACGCGTGTGGAACAAATCCTGTGCACATTTAATTTGAGACTTTTCAAATGTTAATGAACAACATATCCTCGTTACGTTAATAGAAACTAATCCAGTCGTATTATGTTTCCTTCAAAACGTATTCGCTGCAAATTAGTCGTATAAAAACATCATTTATCAGGTTCAAAGGGTTAAACTGTTTTATGAGGAGAAATAAAGTCGTGTTGTTTTCTCTCTCTCTATCAGGACTGTGTGTGTGTGTTTAAGTGTTAATCAGTTCAGTGTCTCTCCTGGTTTGGACTACAGATAACCACTGAAAACACACTGTGAGAGTGTGAGAGTGTGTGTGTGTGTGTGTGTGTGTGTGTGTGGCCTCAGACAGAGCTCCTCTGTCGCAGCAATACTGATTGGTTTTGGAACCCTGTTAATGAGCAGGTGTGTGTGTGTGTGTGTGTGTGTGTGTGTGTGTGTGTGAGCATCTCTGCTGCTAAATTCTCATTTCAAATAGCCCATGGTGCTCTGATAGAATGCTGGGCTACACACACACACACACACACACACACACACTCCTGATAGCCACTGTAATTAGTTGGACTCGACTGGAACTCGCCACGGGGAGAAACAGAGAGCGAGCAAGAGAGGAAGCGACGTCTGTGATGACTTAATGCAGTGAAATGTTTTCAAATGAAACCTTGAGTCAAACTTTTGATTTGTCCCAGAGAGGCCATGTTGCTAAGTAACCGTCCACTGATCTGCATCTGACGCTCTCTGCTCCTCTTCTTCATCCTGAGACGTCTGTGTTTCCAACCCCATCAACACGTTTCCTCACACGGACTCACTCCGAAGAGTTTTTACTGGGCGGCCGGCAGGAGAAACTCTGGAGGATGTTCCCAGCCGCTCACATTCAGCCCCTCTGGATAACTTTGGGAGATCATCTGAAGTTCAGTGCAGGTCTGGAAGCAGCTTCACAGAGAACACAAGCTGCTGGAGACACGTGTGATGAATCTGGCCAAAGCTCGACCAACCGTCAAGAGCCGAGCTTAACGTGAGACGTGCTCCTGCCGACACACAGCAAACACAACCTCCCCGACCGGAGTAACAAGTTCACAGACACTTTAATATATTATTATTCTATATTGGTATAACACCTGCTGACTGATGCGTCTCCTCTTTTAAATGATTTCCAGTTGTTGATCATGAAATCAAAATACTTTTAGTCCAAACTCAGTGGTGTGTGTGGGAACTTCACACCACAAACACACACACACACACACACA